TACAGAGTCCAGACGTTTCGGTTAATGTTTTACTGCAAAGCAGATATGGCTGATTTCCAAAGGTCGTTATGTGATCAGCAGCCGTTATAACGTTTGGAGGCAAAATATGACCTTACGTTCCATACTGCTGGTTAAGTAATTGGTAATTTCTCGGCAGCAATGCGACAAGGTATATCCAATACATGCAAAGTTCGTTTCCTTTGTTTCGGCTGACATTTCTGCAAAACTGGATAATTAATGTCTCTTTGATGTGTCTGCCTAGTAAGCTTTTTTTCTTTAATGATGCTGCTGCAGTCTGACCTTCTCTGCTGCATATTATACAATCTCGGAGGTGTTTTCGTACGGTTCTTTGACCTGGTGAGGGACGAGGCTTTGTTTTCTTCATGTCGCTTGCGATAGTCCATGTATGAATAAACCAGGGTTTGTTTGGTTTATACGGTTTTGGGTATGATCACCAAGACAGGAACAAAATACTCAATCTTCGGATAAACCCGACTTACTAAAATATTCAAGGACTGGTTGGAAAACAGACGAAAGAAAGGAAATTAAAGAAGGCTTATCAAATTATTATATCATATGTATTAGAAAACTGCGCTTCCGGTTCATGTGTCAGTGATCACACTGAAAACGGCACAAAACACCATTTATTTACACACTAAACTTACTAACAACGATAAACGTCTAAACTTTAACTAACAATAAATTCTGATAATCTTCGCTTTACGGTGGAATGAGCGCAATGCGCCATAAGTCTCTGTAGCAATGGTGAGCGTAAACATCTTACATAATATTTAGCAACCTATCATATGGCAAAGATATGATCATAATTATGAGATTTTGTGAAATCTGAAAGAACTAATACAGGATGTTTTTTTCTTGCCATAAAGTTTATAATGAAAAGAAGAAACAAACTGTACAGTGAAAACTTGATATCTTCATGAAGAAGCAAATGCCTATTCTTGAACCATCAACAAGTGTCGAAGATCAAATTGCATTCTACGAGCTATGCTCGACTACGCGAATCATCAGAAGAAAACGAAATTTATGATTCTGCCATTATAGCCTCTTCTTCAGCTTGATCTTCCAGCAATTAATTTTAACTTTCCAATTACTGGTATTTACTTAGTTACGACAATTATTAGTTTATTTACTTAATACATGACAGCAGTTATTTATTTATCATATCATATTCATATTCGACCTAAGATATTTCCAACTTATGACGAACTGATCGAAACGCAACCCATCATAAGTCGAGGAGCATCTATAGTAATACAAGATCTGTAGACTGAGCTTTAAGGCTATGAAGTAATAATTATTAAGTAGTAATAGAATAGTAATAGAATATTAAATTAGCCTTATGCGATAATTGTCATTATCCGAATAAATTCGTAGATTTTAGATTTAGATTAGATTTATTTATAACTGTCGTGGACAGCAATCCATTTGCCAATCCCCATTTCACCACATGTAAAAGATACAATTATATATAGCAAACAAAAAAGGCAAAAAAACGTTACAATAATTTTGTACGTAACGTTTCAGTGAACTCATGAGGATCCGTCCGAATCCCGATCAGGTAAGGCAGTACTGAATTTTTGAAGGTTTCAATACGAGCATTCATTGGATTCATATCTGCACGTGTGACCCTCACCCTTCACTGGAACTGGCCACCACATAATGCAAGTAATAAGACGGTTCGCGAAAATCTCAGTGGCAGAACAAATGTCGCTTAACACCGCCGAGGTGATCTGCTGATATCATACGTCAGTCTCAAGCTGCGTCGTAAACTGTCCAAAAAACACTGGAGCTGCATGCATCGCTGCAGGGGCAATGCATGACCGCCAAAACTACCAGCAAAGCCACCTTGGTGCTCCCAGCTGCCGCAGCCTACGAACTTAAAAGGATGCCTTTCTTATTCCTTGGCGAGCATCAGTTTAACGTGAAAGACCAAGCCAGCCCATGTTTATACAAACATTTAAAACGATGTGCACACAAACTAAAGTACCCAGAGGATGCAAGATTTATAAAGTCCAGAGGAACTTAAGTAGACATGAATTTTCAGATAGCATTCCAGCAAAGACAACTGAAGATGCATAAAAAGGCGAAAGGTCGCCAGAAGAGACTTCATGTATTAAACACTCCTGTGCTATAAACGACCCCCATGAAGAAAAGGTCTGAATGGCGGCATCGTACAAATATGTTGATAAGTATATCAATGCACATTTTTCCACAGTGTTTAAATCAATAAAAGGTGTATGTGGTATGCATGTTAATGCATAATTACGATCACTATTGCTATTACTTTCTTTTAATGCAGATATAATTTACCGGTTACCGCAAATGAATAAGTTTATAAGCTAACAAACGTAAACGTTAGTAATAATTTGCATAAAACATAATACATATACACATGTCAGACTGCAAATCACCCATCATTGCAAATTAAAGCACCACTTAAAATTCGCAGAATTATACACCTGGCCAACACATTTTAGTCAGTAACAAATTTCCGCATACCAACTTGATATAGGCGTCCTTCAGGCGAAAAGATCGTAATATGTCTATCGAACCCTGCCGAAGCACCGCGAGACATTTCTCAACCTGGAAAATTACAATTATCACATAATGCACAAAATTCAAACCACTCCATTAGCAATGAAATGCTCCGCCCCTTACAGTTAGAGCCCAACTTCGCGCAAGAGGGGGGCTTTAAACAGAACAGTACAAGAATCCATGCACTGCTATATACAATTTATATATAAACATGGAAGCGCTAAATTTAGCCTAAGTTTGGTAAGCTTCTTTACCAAAAAACTTCACTGCTAGCAATAAATCGGAGCAGACACAAGGCTTTTGTAAGACCCTGCGATGACCAGTTGGGCTTTAGATACGGAAAACTTAGGTGATTGCACTCTTTTTTACATAGGAGATTTCTAGCCTGCAAAAACTAAAGTAGGAGTGACAGTTGGTGTTCTTTGCCTTGATCGAATCTACTGCTAATGCGTAAGGCTTCAGAAGATAATATAGTCAGGAATATTCTATGGCAAAAGAAAGGACTACCGAATAATCTGATAAAGTTCAGCCCAATATTGCGACTTAATGGTCAAAAGGTCCATTCTCCATTCTTGAACTGATTAGCATGATCTTCTCTAACATTTCCGTAGTGGATGGGCTTTGGAGTTCTTTGACAAGGTCAAAAGCAATACTCTTATTTAATTGCTGAACGGATAATCTCCCTCTGACTGAACGATAAAACTGCATCAAATATTTGTTTTAGTAGACACATTTTGGAAACATTTGACCAAGTCCAGCAACAATCATGGTTCAACGGCGAGCATATCATATAGCTGTCTTAAAACTATCATATTTTTCATATCATTTTCGGAAGTAGTGACTTCGGAGTTCCTTGGAAAACTCGAGCCCAACATACAGTACTTCTACTTGGCAGCAGAGAAAACCATCTCCCTTTCAGGCTCACCAATCGGTTTACCTGTAGAATTTCGTTAATAGACAGGCTCTGGAGATACTTGGTCAAAACGAGCAGTGCACATGCTTGAATATGAAAAGGACAGCCTTTCCTTTTAGACCAGTCATCAGGATCTACTGTAGTACTTTTGGTAGTAGCACAACTGGTGTCAAACAATACTCGTGATTATACATACTCATTTTACGTCAATCAAAACCTGACTTTCTATAACACAGTTTCGAGTTTCCGGATCAAATCGAGCCAGATGTTCCTGATCAGAAGTCTAAAGCATTTCCATTGTATCCCAGATCGACACAGTTAGAATCTTATCTAACTGGGTCGCAGGACCTGTGATTCTCAAAATCAAGTCAAATACTCCTACGCAGCAGTCGAGAACTGCCCCCCCTTTACAACATACTAAGAGTTAAAAAATCTTTTTTATTACTTTCGGTAGCCGATAGAATATTGAAACCTCTGACAGACTGCAGCAATATTCATAAGAACCTGGAGAAAACTGCTTTCCGTTGTAGACCGACTGGTAGAAATTCTAGTCATGGTCAGCAGTGCGAATTGGTTTCATCCGATTAAACCTAGCCAAATAAACGCGTCGAGTCGCAATCGAGAATATCTTAGACAGTTTAGCACTTTGGGCAGCAGAATATCTTAGTCGAATTCTTACCTCTCAATTAACAATCGAGAAGATCTTCGTGTACACTTCTAGTAGAAGATATTTTACAAAAAAGAATTCTAGTACTCTTGCTTCATTGTCAGAAAGTTAACCATTTAGCTTCAGGCCAAACGACAGTTAACGGTACGAAGGATCTGGCTTGTGTTTTATATCAGATGTTGCCTTGTAATATATATGAAGAAGAGGAAAGTTAATCTGTAACCTGAAACGAGTTCAGCACCCATGAGGGAGGATCACAATGATTCAGAAAAGCACAAGTAAGTTCAAAGTCGAACAGGGCATCCAACAGCATCATGCAATATCATGGACGTCATTTGCAGTAACCCGTAGAAAAGGTGTTCAAGTCATCCGCTGAAAAAATTGGTCTCGACAGATGAATAGTTATTAATTATACCACCTGCGCTGTGCAGACAATATTCTGATCCTCTCAAACTTACCATAAGAAACTCCATAAAAGAATCGAAAGCTGTACGACGCCAGGATGAAACTAAGATCGAAAATGTGCTAAAGAAGCTTTACGCCATGTTTAACAAATATGCAGAACCGCAGTTTGTTGAATATGGTCTTAGGCTTGAAAAGGTGCAAATCTATGTCTTTTGGGACAGTTCATCTTGCAACGAGTAACAGACTTAGCGAAATCAACAGCATAATAAAACGGCGTGGAGCAAATCTGAAAGATTGAAAATGTTCTTATCCGAAAAACTGCCCTTGTGCATGAAACGGAAGGTTTTCGACCAGGATCAAGTGTGCACTCCAAGTGCTAACCGATGGGTAGGAAACAGACCTTAAGCGTGACAGGAGTTCATGAAGTACTACGCAACGCAGCATGGAAAGATGTATGGTGGAAGTACCAAGAAAAGATAGAGATACAAAATCGAATGAATGGCTTAGAGAACAAATAAGAGTCAGGGATGTCATTGCAGGACTGACGAATTTAAAATGGTAATTGGCAAGACATGTTGCAACAACACACCATCGCCGGACAAAAAACATCATGCAGGGTTCCAAAAAACACAAAACAACCTGTGGAAAGACCTCCAAATTCTCCGATATTACAATGAGCTGAAGAAATTTGTTGAATCAACGTGAATTATAATTGCAGAAAGCAAAAATTGATCGCAATTTGCCTTAGAGAGGTCTTCATCCGATAGCAGATCGAAAAAAATGGCTGATAATAATATATACGAAGAGTGATGGTACAAAAGTTACGTAATTTCTTATTCAGGTTCAAAGAACAATCTTTTTAGCAGCCAAGGACGATCAATTTTTCACACTTTACTGCTTAAAAAATTTCACTAAATAATCCTGTTTTTCAGCAGAGAGCATTCGTCAATTAAGCAAGAAATAAATAACAAATACAAATCATCTTACAGACTGTCAGCAAATCGAACTATACTTGCACCTAGCTAGGTTCTGTCAAATCCGCGTTTACTAAAACTTTCTGCTTTGCGCGATTTTTGAAAACCTTATTAATATTTTTTATAAAAATTAACTGTTAATGCAGCAGTGTTCATCCTGCCACCAATATTCTGAATAATGCATGATTTGTTACTAAACCAGTGAACGGGCAATCGCAAAAGAAAACGTTGATTGTATCCGGTAATTTCGCGAAAATATTTTGCCAGTACGAAGAAATTCAGCAAAATACTATAAAGATCAAAACTGAATTTTGAACCTCTTAAAAAACCACTCAAATGAGACATTAGCTAAAATTCAAAAATACAGAGATGGGTCGCAATTTGGCACCAAGGTTCGGGAGAACGTGTTCATGACGACATGGCAACAAACGGAAGAAATTCGACCTAGTTCTACCTCATCAACTAAGCAGTGCATTCCCCAAGTAGTAACGGTGAACCTCCTGTGATTCAAGTCACGGAGATGCACAAATTGTGACATTTGTAAATACTCCGCACTTTATTTTCTCTCCAAAGAAACAACAAGAGCAAAATCGAATTAGGGTTTGATGTTCAAGAATATTTGAAAAACATTAAAACTAAGCAAAGTTTCGGTGAACGACGACAAAAGTGAAAAACCCTCCATCCAACGACAATCACCCGTTCAAGATAATACAATTCACGACCCCAAGAAATACTCCATTTGCCTATCGTACGGTAGTTGTATCAACAGGTCACGTCGAATGTGTCAAAGCTACGAATGCATTCAATTGCGTAAACGTAATCAAGCGTTTTGCCGATTGAAAAATTGATTTATCACTATTTTTCCCTTCAAATTTAGTAACAGTAATTCAGGCGTTAACGATGCAACTGCTGTTTTTTGTTACACCTAAATCTACAAAATAGTACCTAATCTGACGGAAGAAAACCATGCTAATTCAAAAATATGTAGCAGCAATGAAGACATTATGCAGATGCGGGTAGCAACTTAAGGCATATGTCGAGACCTAACCATCATTTAGTCTTAAAGTTAAAGTTGTTTTCTATTTCGTGCATGTCGCTGGAAGTCAAAATTGGCAACTCGGGATTAATTTGACAATGATGTGCTCTTACCGTATTATGGAGCAGTGGGAGAGAAAATGTACTTGCTTCTCTGTACCACTCATTAAAATATGAACAGCCTTGATGATTGATCACTTCTCTTTCCTAGACTGTTTCCAGTAACAGGGATGCGCTAATCAAGTCAAACTCCTCCACATCTTTCGGATTCTGGCCAAATCCTTGGTAACGTCTCACGGTTTCATCTCCTTCTTGACGTCAATATGCTACCTTTTCCTTGGTCTTCCTCTACTTTTCTGCCAGCATCAATGTTTGGGTTGCATTTTCATCGTACAGGTTTGGTTTCCTTTCAACGTGACCGAACGAACAGAGCTTGCTTTCGATAAGCGCTTTCGTGCAACTGATATCACGCGTGGAGCACCCCCTTAAGGAGCTGTTTCCGATGTAGACCTTTTGTTAACACTACACATCTGTCTGAACATTCGCCTTTTCACCGAGTTCAGCTGTTGCTCGTGTCACTTTAGGGTAGCCAAGCATTCCGCTCCTTACAGAAGCACCAGTTTTATCATCATTCTGGGCATCTCATAACATGGATTTCACATCTGCCTGCCTATTTCAACATTTTTCTATAGGTCGAAATCAAGAAAATACAATTCTTGGGTTTGAGGCAGCATGCTCCTGCTACTTTCAATGATTTGATGACTTAAATATGTTCTCCTCACTGAAATACAGTATCGTATATTCTGATTTGCCTTCCCTCTGTAGATGGCTGTTCCTCTCAAAGACTGTTCTCCAAGCCTCGGTTTTTGCTTACGTACTCGGCACAACGTCTACGTAGTGCATGCACCATGGGGCTGCTTCCTGCAGTTCTTGAATCGCATGCAGCCATCAAGGAAAGAAATGGGCTGCCATGATCTTTGATGAACTTCTACTCGCACATTGAACTATTCCATTTCGCCGTATGTACTTTGAACTGTTGTTGTCTCAGCTGTGCAAGTCTTTGATAAGCGTGGCGTATTTTTCTGGCACAAACTCTTTCTCATTCTCCTCCCGATTGTCTGCTTATGGAATCGACCAAAACCATTCTTCAGGCTTAGGAATACCAGGTTAATATTCTGCATTACATACGTATATAATATCCGTATGTTTCGGACTGATCTTAAAGGAAATATGGCGCCAGTAGTTGACCAGCCTGGGCATAAAACCAAACTGGTTCACGATGACTGGACCCTCCTTTCCAGTATCAGACGATTTCGCACACATTCATGGTGCGCCAACATAGCTTAATTTCATGATAATTTTCACAAACGAGCACATCCTCTTTCGTATTGTACATTGGCATCTAAACATTCTCTCCAGGATTCAGGTAAGGCATCTTCTAACATTACACAATTTTATTAAATACATGACTGATACAATTTACATATATCTTCGTATTGTACACCCTTTACAACGCGGTCTTTTGTTGGGCCTTCAGCAATCTGTACGGAAACACAGAAATTGTCTTCGTCCAAAGCAAGGAGGGTTGCCTTCAAACCGCGATAAGCACCGTTCACCACCAATATGGTTTTTCCCAAAGCGGGAATAACTGTTTCCAGATGCGACTGGTGGACGGTGATGATGTCACCGGTATCGTCGAGTAACTTTACCTTTGCGGTGTACTCATCATCGAGACTATCGACGACTCCTTTCCTGCCTCTAAAGTTCAGGTCGCCGTCAATTACCTTCACCACGATTCCGGTGTGCAGCCAGTAGTCCTTGCGGTTCAGCCTATCTTTTCGCCTCTCTTCCATCTCTATAATTTCTTCGAGTGCCGATGAATACACCTTCCCTGCAGATTTAGGCCTTGTTTTGGTCTTTGTTTCGACTGATGAAAGATCGGTGGTCGAATTTTTTGATACAATTTCCACTTCGTCGTCTTTCAACCCCTTGTCCGGCAAACCGCTCAGCAAAAGGGATACTTTCGGCTTTACGTCGGCAAATTTCGGCAATTTAAATTCCACCTTCTGATCTTCAGCCTTGTGTAACTCGGTGAATGCGTTGACCTGCTGTTTTAGCTTCTCTGTGCCAAGCTTCTGCTTCGCTACCTCGGCCTGCTTCATCGCCAGTTCCTGCATCAACTCGTCGTCATCCTTGTCCATCTTCGCCTTTTTGGCTAGCTTCTCTCGGCGTTCGTCAGCTTCGCGGTCGATATACTGAATGAACCAACCTTTCTCAGTTTTGTCGACCTTGCAGATACCCGTTCGACCGAGGAAGTTCACAAAGCCGGTCAACGTGTACCAACTGGTAGAGTTCATGTGGACGTGATGCCGATCCTAAATGCAAACAGAAAAGTTATTACGCACTATTCATGAACGCGTGATCTACATATCAACTTAGTACGATGTAACAGAAGATAACCGGTGGCCAAAATTTATTTACAGCAAATAAGAGAAAGTAATACCAAGAAGGGTATCTTTCCGATTCAGCCCGTAAATATAATCCTTTAACTACTGGCACCGGATTTAAATCCAGTTAAAACGCCGTCTCACGTCCTGTACACTGCAGGTTCTTAAATATCACAGAACCGTGGCCTGAACAAATGACCGACAACTTATGCGACTAGAAGCAAGGGTCGACATTACTGCGGAAGAACATGGTATAATGAATAGTATCATCTTACATCGCTACAGTGTAAAGTAAATAACATTGCAGTTTCCAACAGTTTTCGAAGTGGAAATCCGGTATCAGAATTTGAAGGACAAAATTTGTTTAGTTTTCTTATTTAATTTACAAAAATTATTGATGCAAGTTTATATAAACCTCAAAACAACTAATGGCTCTGAACAGCAATAGACAGGAAACTTGAAACTGTTGAACAGTCAGCACTGAAATTCAGCAATGGAGTAGATCAAGGAGTTCGCTAGAGCGTGGCCGTCGTATTTGTTATTTGAAATATATCGCCATCCACTGTATGATGTTATATCGCCATCCACTGTATGATTTACGGCGCTGAATTAGCACTGGTCTGCCACTAAAGTCGAGGAGAATAAACCTGACCGTTACGAAACGAGTGATGGAAAGAAGAATGTGCAGTTTCCCTCACAGTGTGATGTCCATGTGCAGCGTGATCACATCCCGAGAGCACAAATTCCACAACGGGCTGGATTAACGGAGGTAATTTATACCTTTCATGAAAGCAAGATCAAATGGGTGGCCATATGGCTCGCCTGAAAGAATTGGTGGACATCAAAAATCACAAACTGCGTTCCACTGAATCGAGACGATTAGATGGTCAAATTTCTTAGCCAGCGGTAGAGGCAGAAAACGGAGAACGGAGAATACTCGAGTGTCAACTTGCGATAGTTGCCCACCCATAACGAGGACAAGTCGGATAATATAATTATAAGTAAACGAAGCGACAAGCCAGGGAAAGTTATAATTAATAAATAAACAAGAGAAGCATTATCTCGACTTAGCATGTGAAAACATACCTTGATATATTCCTGATAGACCATATTAGCCTTCACTCGTTTTGTGCCGAATTGACGTCGAAGAATGTCCAAAAATCCCTTCTGAAATTCGGTACTGAACTCATTCATAAAACGGCCCGAGTTTTCCGAGAATAACAGTAGCTGCCGCTGGTGCGATTCCGAAGTCAAATGACACTTGAATCCGTTCTGATCCCGACATTGTTTCTCACACATTTGACAGTACCATCTTAGCTTTTGCAATCCTTTCGCCTTTAGACGATTGGCGATCGCCTTTGGCGTACAAGGCTCGTGTTTCGGCATCTTCGGTATCGACTCAAGTCACAAACACAGCGATCTACGGCAATCACAGTAATTTTTCAAACTGTAAAAGTGTTTGTAGGTTACATCAACACAGTGGAAAGTCAGCTGATAATATAATATGGAAACGTACACAGACTACGACTTAAGTATTTGCTATTTTTAATGAAACTATTTCATGAGTACAATCATCAAAAAATTCAATTTTACTCAATTTTCAGGCGTAACTCAAAATTAAAATTGTGCAATTGCAGAAGCAGTCATGCGCTACTGGTCTGACAGTAAATATCGCCAGAACGAAATGAATTCTCGACTACAATTCCCATCGGTATACCATTTTTAGTGACGGCGAAGAAGTAGAAGAACTCGCTAGCACGTGATTTCTTTCACATTACAGACTTAAATAATGAGATTAATGGCGAGATCAGCAGAAGAAAGAGGGTGGCACGGATCAGCTTGAGTCACACCTTAACATCGCTGCTGATATCAACTGAAAACGTTTTTCGACTCCTCCGTTCTGGCAGCCATGATTTGTACGGATTACTGAACAATGACAAAGGCTGCGAAAAATGAAATTAATACTAATGCAATGGGAGAATGATAGCAAGGTATGCAAGGTTTTCCATCTGGTCCAGTGTCCGTGTCATAGTTCGGTGTCAGATGTGAATTTTTGATTTTGAATTTTTGAGACGAACACGTATTGTCTAATTGCAGCCATGCCACTAGTGAAAATATTTGAAAAATTGCTAGTGCCTAGCAAAAAGAAATGGACGGCTTCCCCTGCCCTGTTCCGGACTTCCACCGAGTTACACCAATCGCTAGCCGCAACTTTGATAAAATACTTGTGGCTTGACTCAAGTAGACCTTGCCTGAACAGATAACGTATTTTTATGACAATTTTTGCGAATGGTGCACAACTGTATGAGTCAAATGCCCAATGAGTATATGAACCGTATCGAGGAAAAAATGTATCTGAGCATAAAATAGAGTTCTCGCATGTGTGCTCACCAGCTTCACAATCGTTCATTTTGGCAACCCAGTCATGACCTAGACACCTCTAAGGCTGTATCTGTTCCTGCATAACCCAGGCTTTCAAACTCTTGTCATATACCTGATTAGGTTCAAGCAAATAGTTCTCTGAAATAGAACGCAAATCACATAACAAGCTTCCATCCGTTTTTTCTACTTTACCCTTTTACCTGGGCCTCCTTTATCTACTCGTCGATGTGTCAATTCTACTTGAACTTCTACAACTGCATCCGCCTCGAAACTCAAGTCAGGAATTCGGTTCCAATAAGATTCGTCATTCAAACTGTGACGGCCGAAATTAATTAAATCAAACCGGACCGTTCCTGGAGCTGATTCGCCACCAAGTCACTCGTTCGCAGAAATTTCTGAGGACTGCATCGAATATTTGAGGTTCG